TGGGTAGTCAGAAAACAAGGAAAGTTACCGCTGATCACCGTTGATTCTCAGGCGAAATCAACAACCACCTCAGCTATCAGTTTGTGTGACGTGGACCGTAGTCCTGGTCCCAAAACCTCAACATTCTCTAAGTCCATTTTGTGCCCCGTTTCCAGTGTATGTTCCGCAATTGCGGAGTCATCCATTAACGCTTAATATTCATCTGCGTTTCTCGGTGGTCTGCTGTACTATGCTCTCCGACTCTGCTGTGTAGTTCCCTGGCCGTCTATCCTATATAGACCTTGGTGCAGTCACTACACTTAATTTTGTAGACATAGTCCCTGGTTCTGTTTGCCTGGAGGCGATCTTTTAATGGCACCAGTGCAGATCGCAGCGTGTCCCCCCTTTGGAATTCTTCGAATGACTTCCGATGTCCATGGTTTATATGGGATAACAGCGCTCCCGATCCACTCCCTGTTGAGTTTCGCTACCGATACCGACACCCTCTGCAATTGACGCCTAATCAAGCCAGCTGGATATCTATGTTCGAATGCTAAACTGGCCAAACCTCACGTGAACGTCATCGCTGCGCAAGGCGTAAAGGCATAACTTTTGGAGCCGAGTGTTGTCTATTGTCTGTTTGCCAATAACTGGCCTGCAGTCTCACATTGTCTACTTTAAATTCTCTAACTTGTGAGTTAAGCAACCGGAATCCGCCACGTAAGACTGAAACTCATCAGGGTGGCACCAGAGTACCGCGGTGAAACAGCGTTCAAGCAAGCAGCTGTGAAAAAGTTGACTACTTCAGATAAATAATTGGAGTTTCGGTTCCGGAAGATTATTTGACTCTGAAACGCATGCAGTCGGTTAGAAATATAAATAAGACTTCATGAACACACATGAATGGAAGAACCAGCCTGCTGACAGCTACCATGGTACTGTTATGGAATCCAATATGTGATTCCTACAACTGTATTAAAGAGACGGATTATGCTCTGTTTCGATAACCAAACATCTCAAGATTCTTGAAGCCTTCTGTTTTTCTAAAGATGAATTCGGTTGCCTGACAGTGCCTTCAGATAAAGATGATTCAGTTCGTATTTCCTAAATTCACGGTTGTCCATCAACCGCCCCGTGCCTGTACGCTGGTCGAAATATAAATCCGGTCAAATATTCATTGCCAGGGATAATAAGTTGATTCTTCTGTTGCAATTCGATGAAATAATGAATGAATCCAGTGAAACAGGTTGTTGGAAGCAGTGTGCCTGTAATATGGTGGATCGAACCTTTATGGATTTTGAACTCCAGAATAGTGAATGGCTCAATCGAGGTAGATAAAGCATGTAATGCTGTCGCTCCGTGACTACAGGGTGCAATCATAACTTAATTTAATATCTGTAGAGATTTCGATGATGAGCTCCAGAAATCCTAAAACGCGCTTCGCGGTGCAAGCAGTTTGGCCGCGCCGTGCCATCACTAGCATATTGGTGTAGATGGTCAGTGAACTGAACAAGACAAACCAGAATGAAAAGGAAGAATACCGGTCAAGTGACTCAAATCCCAGGTATTGTGAAATGCTGGCCTGTCCTATATAGGTCACATATTGTCCCTTCACTATGCAATGAGAACGAAATCTTCTGTGACAGCTGTCTGCGTTTATCCGTGTATCTTAATACATCATCGCCATTTTCACGTTTCAACGTCGCTGTTGATCACGGTGAACAGGTAGACATGGCGCACACGTTTGCTCACTGTATTAACATCGTCCATGTACCTCCTGAAGGAACCTGCCAACCAGCAAGTAATTGGTAAGTATACTTGTCAGTGCGACGTGCTGCAGTTGACATCCCTTCGCTTATATATACTGCCTTATAATTGCTGTCTAAAGGACCTGGTTTTCCGTCAGGATAGCATTTTCTTCCTCGGAATTATTCGCGTGAATGGTTGGGTTGGGTTTTATTCCGAGTTCACTGTGTTCAAGCCTACTAGACTCTTAATAACACGGAGTATCATCTCTAATAATTTTAAATCATGAGTACCAGACCAGAGAAAGCTCTAAAAAATCCTCCAACTGGTTGCGACTATTTCGTTCAGTTCCATTAACACACACTGTTCAGCAAAATTGCTGCAAACGCCTCGTGAAATTTAAGAAAGCAATGAAAATTAGCGGAGTTCTCAACTTGCAGCTATTCTCCAAATAAGAACGCCCTAGAAAGCAACCGATTATTTTTAACTGGACCTTCAAGTACAATTAATCCAACTGAGCCCACGGAATAACCAAACCAATACGCTACAATTTGAGTGCCTATGGGCAATCTGTGAGGCGCATTGGCACACTTTTGGGTTTGCGAATTCGTGACAGAGTTTCACCAGAGCTGAGCTACAGAAACAAAGTGTGACAAGAAGAGTCCTGCTAATCGCAACCGCCCTGTTCAGAAAGGCTTAAAACCGGTTGTTGATCCCTTCGCGGAGCTTGGCAAACGAGCTGGAGACAGTTCGTCACCAAACGATGGATGGACACCCACTTTTCACTTGCTTTCTAACCTCATTGGGCCGCCGTTTGCGATCCATGCTTTGTATTTGAAAGGAATCAACCATTCTTGCACATAATCTTAGTTTTCCTTCTACTTTGATTTCATTGGCTCGTTCTCAGTTACATACTGGGCTGGTGTTCTTGTGATTGTGCCTTCTTATCTTGCGGGCTATCTTATTCATAGTGGTTGCTTTCCTCCCGTTTGACCGACTGATCGCGTAGCTTTCCTTTTAAGTACTTCNATAATTTAGTCTTCCGATCTATTGGTCACATTGTAAACGCGAGCAGATAAGGAAGTACCCACCCAGTGACGCATTGATGTGTTCGATTGACAAAAAGTTCGCAGTTCGATCACCCAATCAACATCAAATAAATGCTCCAAGCTAGGAACATATCAGTCAGCTGTAGATCATCTTTTAACCATAGGAATATATCAACACATTGTAGGGCTTGTTACTTTAGATGAAGTAGAGTGATGGGTTAGATAAAACTCACTATGTAAACAATTGGTTTTACCAAGGAAGAGATCATGCTAATTTCCACAGGACTCTCGCAGATGCAGCGTATAAACACGGTGAGTGAGCATTCTATCCATAGGGCTCTACGGAACGTTAGATTTTTCCTCTCCCACTAGAAGTTAAACTAGCTTGACCCTACACCACATGAGGCTTCTTCTTTGACCATTTCTCCTGTTGCGGAACAGTGTGCACCAAGAACGGATGATAGTCCTTTTGTGATACAGTATTAATATTCCATCAAAGTATGAATATGTAGAGTGTATGGATATGAAGGTAGAAAGTAACAAAGGCTCCGAGCTTCACCTTGAGTACCAGCGGACCACAGTATGCAGTTTCTGATGTGACGAGATTACTGGTACAATACGATCGTCTGAGTGGTGATCCAGCAGAGTTCCAGTGTTGGGAGCGTGATCCAATACACAATATGGAGTTGCACGAATTCCTCCGTGTTTGGCTAGGGATTGCTGTAAACAGCAGTCAATGACGTTTGTCACAAATTTCTATGACGCTTATCTGACTGAGTGTTCATGTAGGCATCGTGGCAGGCTCATGTTGAACCCCTTTTCCACTCCATCTCATCCGATCACGGTTTTCTTCAAAAAGTCAACATAGTGTTTTGGTAGCAAAGGACCGATATCCAAATTAATGTTGGTATCAATGGATAAGCAGCCTACTGACAAGATCTAAGTAGAGGAATGCAATGTCCCAGAAAGGAACCAGCAAGAATGCCGTGAGCGATCCGAGCTAAACACAACTAGATTTCGGAAATTAGTTCAGCACCGAGCATTATCGACAGCATGACATCAGTGTTCAACACCGATGCTTCGCTGCCGTACAACCTTATTGTAGAAAAAAAGGACAGTGGTAGGGAGGGAAGAGTCTTATTGCTAACTTCCCGCAATCATTTCGAAATTCCTACATCTGCAGACACTCACTCAGGCAATCTGAACAGAAACTGACAACAAGAATGCCATTGACATCAACTAGCAGCATCGTCTTTAAACAGGAGCAATGGGGATCTCGCGGCCCCCATTCTGGAAGGCCAGTAGCACTTACATCACCCACACGTTTCGTAATCTCTTTCATACCCTTCTGCCAGGTGAAGCACTGAGCTTTTAAAATAAGCGCAGCAAAAGTACAACAAGGACTACATTCTCAATAAACCTTCGATTATATGTATCGATTTCTCCCAGATAAGAGGGAGGTACACACCTAATAAAACAAAATCACTCAACAGTAGTAAAGACGATGCGGGCGAAAAACAGTGAGAAGTATCAAAATACATGTGGGTGGTGCTTCCTCCCCATCTGGGCGTTCGGCCACCAAGAAAAGCCAGACGGCTGCAAGCGTCCATAAGAGCTAAACTCAAAGAGAGAAACAATTGTGGAGCACTCGGGTGCTGTCGACCGACAAACCGAAAGAATGCAATTAAACTAGACTGGTTCCAGATTCTCCATAACCTTAAACAGCTCAACGAACATATTGACCCGTTGTAACGGGTTTTGGAAGTTCTGTGTTTCGCATCAGGCGAAGTTACAGGACCCGACCAAGAGGGTTTAGTTAGAAGTAAGCATGATGGAATTAGTAGCACTTCTGTGCGATGCGGTAGAAGTGCTGAGTAGGAGGTGGTGAGGGAGATACAAAACCGAGCATTATTCGGGCTTGGTTGACAAAGATTTCTGAGAAGAGGTATTCAAGTGACTGTCCTGCTTTGGCAGAGGGGGTTCTGTACCAACATTGTGGTTGGACTGGTTGGGTTTCTCAGAAGCTTTGTGGAACGTCCCAGCGCTCACAGCAGACTTACGTATCTCCGTAGACGATTTTTCATCAGTTGGCTCCCCTGTCGACTCATCAGACCCCATTTCTGCAGCCAGATGCTCGTTGTCTACCATTTCCAAAACCCGCTTCACCTCTTTCGAACTCAGCTTTACGTTTTCCGTCCCAAGTAATTCGACAACCTGGAAATAAATGGAATATTGTGGTGAAAATGAGTAGAAAGCGGTCAACAGATGATGGACGATGGCGAGCAGCCAATTATGAAAAGCATCTGAAGCAAGAAGTAACAACTGAACGCAGTGGAAACACTGGAGACCATGAAAAATCGAAGGGCGATGGATTGTGTAGTGGCATGGTTAGATAATAGAAACCGCCATTTGACAGATAGCCCCCAGTATTAACCCAGAACAAAACTGGAGTGTTATTGGACATAACGACCCAAGTAAACAGGACAGGTGTTTTCGTTCCAAGTGGATTCTATTAATGATTTCACCTCTGAAAAGCAACCAACAAATGACGTGCAACCGACTTGTCACTGGCTAACCACAGGAGTGGTAGAAGTCAGTCAGCGTCGACAACAGTGGATCAACAGTCGAGGTCTGTACAATGCCAGTTGACGTTCAAATCACGGCCGTAACTTGCTTAAGAAGGTAAGTCTGATGCGTGGTCAATCTCCAATTGCTTGTAGACAAGAAGACCAAATAAATGACACGTACCAATACCTACTAACTATTTGATTCAACTACTTTACTACGGATTACAACAAGCCTGCATGCATTCGCTCGCACTAATCTGCTTTCTTTCCGAATGAATCAACCGAAAACCGAGTAGTCGTGTTCAGTGTTTTGATGTTTAGAGTCTAACTCTTGAGTGATTCCCTATCAGAATACACCTGGACTCATATCTATAACAAAAGTTCTGAAAGTTGGCTTGAACTGTTCAGCTTTGGAATCGGTTGGGAATGAGGTCACGAAGGTGAGTGTACATGTTTCAAACTGGACTTTCACATCTGATCACTTGGATTTATACGTGGGACAGATTTTCTGAATCAATCGACTAATTTATATGACACCTCACTAAGCTGCATCCTTCTGGTTGCTTAGGAAATTTTAATTGAGGTTCCATTAGCTAGATGCTTGACTGCATCGAGCGTTGTGCGATCCCGGAGTGGCTCTCTTAAGCACCTGCAAACTTTGTCAACCAAACCCGATTGGTACTTAGTCTTGTATTTTCCTCGCCAGCTCTTACTCTGCTCAGCCGTCTTAACCGCTTGCCTACAACTACCGTAGAAGCGCAAAAAACTCAAGTCACATTCCATTCGAACGTAACGCCAACCTAAACGAGGTCATACTACGCAAGGTACGGTGACAGCATTTCCAGTACCCTCGAAGGCACAGCTGATCCCGATAATTTACTGAATAAGTTCAACAAGCGCATCTAAGTATGAACTCTGCAAATGAAGAAACGATGTCGGGTTCATCCTTTCCACACATATTTTTGAGAAGCCCAAATGATGATTGTGTATAGGGCAACATTCTCTACAAAAGGATTCGGAACAGATGGTAGTTGAAGTTTCACAGTTTCGTACCACTCGAGTAGAAGAAGAGTGATATGTGAAATACAATCGTTCGCATACCAATTTGGTTTCAACGGAAAACTCAACTGAATCCCAGGTAAATCTCTCGTTTATGATTTTACGCCTATGTGTTATCGCTGCGCTGAAAGTATGGTCTCCAGAACAGGAAGGGTTAACAAAATAGGGAAAGCCAAGGCAAGTATACACATTGGTCTGATGGCCCGATGACGAAGCCAAGTATTGTACCCGGAATGAAAGAAGAATGTGTAACCGGGAGAAAAATGATCGACATTGATCGTTCGACGAATACGAACAGATTTAGTTAAGATGAGTCGGTGAGTAATGAAACAGGCACCAAAACAAAGCACATAGAAAGCGCCGAGTTGATTGGGCTCAAAAGATTATCCACACAACATTCAGTAATCGAAAACGTCAAACAAACAAAATCTAACCTGGAGATTCTTGAGCTGGAACAATTGTACACACATGCCGATGGAATGACGATTGAAAGTTTAGATTGTGCTAAGTTTACCAGCCAAAAACCAAAGTATCGCAGTGCAGTGACTCCAGCCATCTCTGTTCCGTTCACTTATAACATCTAGAATAGGTAGAGAAAGCTATGCACTGAAGTCAATAGCTTGCACACGTTCAGAATGGTAACTTCCGGTAAAGTGGTGCTAGAATGGAATACCTGTTACCAGAATGAGGGTCACAATGGCTGCACGGAGATATTAATAGCTCCGACTCATTTGTAACAATGCGAATGGATAATATCAAATGGCCCTAAAGTACAACATCCTGGGAACCCCAACATTGACTGAGGTTTTGATTTTTCGCAGTCAACCAGGTGACGTTTTGCATGGACCATGTGCCCATGCCTGCAAAGTGCACCTGAAGCAGTGCGGTGAAGTATCAGTATCAACACTGATTTTGCGGTCTTTGATGATGATGATGATATACCTGATGGAGAGAAGTCACTTTGGTAAACCTAGCATACTTCAAGCGAGATAGTCAGTTTACAAGTGAGCCGGTCACATATACCTCAACGAAGTGACTCAGTTTTCATGGTGCCTTTCGGATACAGTTGTTCCAGTCTGGAGAGACACAAAATTGATCCCTTCTGAAGATTGCTTCTTCTGTCCTAGAAAACTCTCAAGCTACTCCATAGGTTGCAGCAAAAAACTGCGTTTGTATAGATGAATCATCCCGCTCTGTGATTTAGGTCAAGCGGAAGGCGTAAAGAGAATGTCGTAGGAAAAAAGCACTTACTGATAAAACGTGTTGAAGCTCAATCTTTCCATCTTGGTCTTCGTCTAATACCTTCAAGATCTTTTCCCACTTGGTGTCATCTGGAACTTTCTGAATTCGCCGGAGGGCTAGAAGCAAATCGTTAATGTCAACCACACGTTGGTGGTCGGCCTGGATGGCGTCCAGCATTTCTGTCTGTTCACTTGGTTCGGTGGCGTGTTTCACGTGAATTCGCGCAACTGTCGTTAATGTCAACCACACGTTGGTGGTCGGCCTGGATGGCGTCCAGCATTTCTGTCTGTTCACTTGGTTCGGTGGCGTGTTTCACGTGAATTTCGCGCAACTGCAAAAAAAACCAAGGCGCACGTACACACAACAGCCATGGGGAATGAGTGAAAATTTGTTTGCGCCGATCGAAAAGCTAACTGACCTAATGAAGCTCAAGCGATTGGGCATGGAAAGGATTATGGAGCACCTCACTCTCGTTGTTTAGAGAACTGACAATCATGCACCAGAAATGAATGTAAAAACTAATGACCGATTGTGCACCACCGAACTAGTTTATCCGGAGCGAAACATTACGGCGTGTAAGTTTAGGTGAGCGAATAAAATTGACTGAGATGCACATATGGGGGCGGGGTTTCGACAAATATTGAAGTGCGCAGGCATACTCATGGGGATATACATCATTAGTCAGCGATGGATGAGCATCGAGGTAGCTCGGTGCTTAAGACGCCATCTTACAGACCGAAAGGTCCGTGGTTAGGACCCAACCTCAGCATTTTGAATGCTCCTGTCTAGGCTTGGGCAGCCCGGCAGTATCCCAGCGCTCGTGCCTTCTTCTGTTGGCATGACAGCTAGGCGCCAAAAGGTTGCTATAGCTGAAAGATGCGATTTCGATGGATGGACGCAACGAGTGGCATTCGGTGCAAGCGCTTCAGAGTAGACACCTTAACGACTTCCGGGTCCTATTGGCGGATTAGCACTCGGCACTGTGGATAGTTATGCTCTACGAGAAGGACGTATGGAATGGCTGGGTCGATAATAGCTACAAAAGAAATTCCTGAACTCAAATTTCTCCCCACTATCTCATGAATCAGGTCAAGGATAGGCGTACGAATTGAAGGCAATAGCAAAAATGCAAAAACTCGATTGGCACCAAATACTCATGAAAGTTCGCTAAAGTGCCTGCGTCGGTTATTAATGAATATGCATTATCCTTTCGAAGGAGCCGCTCATGATAAAGTAGCAGTGGGTCGGGTCATTATGGCACAAACATAGAGACCCAAAAAGCACCGGTTTGTAACGGGATGCAACTTGGTTGTTTAGTGGAGGGAGGGTCAAATGGTAGTTGCAATCACTCAAGGTGCTCCGAGGCCGGTAAGCGTAGGTTCATAACGGCATCGTATTACGAAAATCTCGGTCCATAAGGCAGCTAGCTTGGTCTGGAGCTCAAGAGATAAGTGTGTAGAAAGAAGGCAACGAGAACAAGATATAACGGTTTCTAATTTCCATGAACGCAGGGCTTATTGAAGGAATCGATAGTGAATCACGGTAATTTGTTTAAAAGTAATGGGCGCGCTCTCAATTCAGCTCAGTTTATTAGCTACAAGCCATGTACCGAAGGTAAGTTGGTTTCGGCTGTGAGCGTTTTTTTTGCCACCGGCGAAAAGAGCTCTGCGAAGCAGACATTCCCCTGGCAAGTACGTCCTAACCAGCATAACCTGCAAGGCGTGAGTAACTCATCCGTCGCGATAGAACGCCTCCTTCGTAACGCCACCGACGTAACCTGACATGCTCTCGACGGACCATGCCAGCACTTCAGACGCCGATGATCAAACACCGCTACGCGTAGAGGCCAGGTTTCTTATCAACAAAAGAGTATGAGTCATCTATAGAGGAAAATATCGGTAGCTCAGGTAGCGTAGATGGCCGCTGGCTTGTTCACTGAGCTGGGCAATTTGATTGCAAACGTTTCATCACCAGTCGCGATCAAGGGTCATCCCCTGCTAGTAGCACGTATATTAACACACGCGTAACACTACTCTACACACAATCACTAACCCACCGCTACGCATTACTACGCTCCCCAATGACGCACTGATGACGTCACCTCGATTGGTGGCGGAACGTTTGTAATCAAATTGTCCAGCTCAGCGAACAAGCCAACGACCAGTATGGGTCATATCATCGCGGTGATCCTCTACCTTTGACAGACAAACTGACAACACACTGGCACCACAGATTTCGGAAGTTGGCGAAAGTGCACTCTATCCATTATGCACTGTCTCTCACCGAAATAGAGTATTAGGGTGAGCATGGTAAATAGGAGCAGTGCAACCGATGCACTTATCGATATGCGATATCCATACCCTCAGGGATGATTGATATCTCTAGTTTCATTTGCAATACACAGGTTGATCCCGAGGTGAAATGGCAGAACCGACTCACGCCCCAATCCATCCGAACATTCGTGGAAGATAAAGGGACGTGCATCAGGGGAAAACATAATGACACAGAAATGGAAGTAGTAGCATTCACAACTGGGGATCAATTGGTATCACCCAGGGTAAAGAGGATAAGGCAGTCGATTTTATCCCCATATGCCCTAACGAAAAAAAGCTTTTCCGCAACTCCAGTGGGCTACACCTAAGTATATTTATGGAATAAAGGCGACTTGAGTTATGTGAAGGTTATCACAGTAATTTGTTCAAGATATCAGTACCGGCGAAATAGTCAGTGAATTTCGGGGTAAATGGATGAGGCATTTGGTCACGGTTCCGACTTGATTTCTACCGTCCAGCAATACGTCACCACTAGCAACAAGGGCGGTTTTAGATGTGGTGTTCTTTTTCAACCAACCCTACTTAATGCCAAGTTAATTTGCTAATGATTGTACGCTTTGGACGCGAGGTGACTCAGTGAGTAGAGCACGAACTTACTGACCGGAAGGTCTGTGGTTCGAAACTGACCTCTACATCTCGGCTTCTCCTGCCTAGGGTTGGGTGACCTAGCAATATCACAGCCCTCGTGCTTCCTTCGGGCGGCATAGCAGCTAGATATCGGAGTGTTACAGCTGAACGATTATCTTATTTTATCAATGATCGTACGACTCCATGTGTTCTGAAATAACTTATATGTTGTCTCGCCAGGAAACAGAAGGTGCTCTATGCTAAGTTAGGGTTGCTCAAGATTACACACGTAGCGCGCGAAACTTTACACGTTTCCCCTGCGACTTTCTCAACTCCAGATCTGCCTGAACGATCGCACGTGAAACCTGTACAGAAATCACTATGGTCAATCTGACAACCGGTAAAAGCCGCTCACCGTCCATTTCGTGATAAACCACAAGCACCCGGGGAAAATAACACGTATTACGGCTGGCCTTTAGGTGATCTCAGATGGCGAGTTAGAAAATGGAACGAAAACGGCAGCATTGTCCGGTTAGTTATTCTGACGTGAAATAACTGAGCTAAGAATAAATCAACAACATATAGTGCCTCAGTCAACAAACCAACGCGCGGATTGTCTTCACTCGATATGAACTCGTTAAGTTTACTCTATCCCATCAGGAGCACGAGCATACCACAAACGATTGGCGACAAATCTGATCCGAATATCGATTTGGTCTCTCCGACAGTCTACCAAACAAAAAATTCAGTTGAGGTTTCACTATAGACAAGAGCATGCGATATACCAAAAAACGTTCCCGAACAGCAAATACATTTCCGAAAAAACAACTCAGTTCCGATTCAGGCAGGATAAGGATAAGCCCAAAAACATTTGAAGCATAGATAAGCTGCTTCATTGCGCGCTTGTCGTCAAACGAACGACTCTGCCACTGCGCACCAACGCCTCCAGTACGTTTCATCTAAAGCATCCAAGAAACTGAAGTGGTTTAACCTACTATTCCAGAATGAAAGACGAGGGCATATTTTACATGCATGGTAGAACGACCGATGTTATGGCTTGGCTTCTTTCATATATTCACGCACGACCGTTAGAAACGTGGTCATGTGATCTTGGTTCCAAGAATAAAGTCAAAAACGCAGAAACTTGACAGGAGTGAGTAAATACACGCACGCGTCGTTTCACAATTTGCAATAACAACGTATAGTCTGACACAGTCCTACTCCACTGCATACTTTACAGATTTACTCAATGAAGTTAAAAGCTGATCGTTTAAGCTAATTCGAGCATACATAATGGGCACGATGCCTCCTCGGTTGGATGAATTAACACTCGTAGGCCTGAGGTGCCGATTTCAAATAAGATCAAAGATTATGATTATTGTGCCAAGAATAATGATTCCCAGCTGTCTATTGCGGTTAGTCAAAGAGACAAACGACATCCAGGTAATCTTTTGCTAGAGAACATTGAGTAGAACCAAGTGTCCTAATATGAACATAAAGATGACCACAGCTATGATTGAGTAGTTTTCAATTTAGGTGTGCAATCATGAATCAGCCATTTTTATGTTCACTTTTTTGAGAAATCATATAAGTGCGTTATTCCAATAATCCAATTACCAGTCGAACAGCGGCCGTAACGCGCATATTCGCCTTCATTGTATCATGGTGAATAAATTCCTTCGTAAGCACAGACGGACCAACTGTAGATTGCTCAAAATGACAAAGTGTCTACCAAACAGTAAATCTTTATAAGCAGCAGAGATGTTATCAGACCCTAAGGTGATTGAAAGACCGCCTCTTTGGTTTGATCAGCAAATGCAGGTCACGTGATCTACTCCACTGCCATTAGGAATGATGTAGTAAACCAAAAGAAATCGGGAGTGGATTTTACAGCCGAGGAACGCGTGAAACAAGCCAGAGGTATGAAATGATTAAGGCGCACTGTAAAGTAGTCAAGAGTCAAGGATTGAGGTGCAGTCTTCTGTTGAGAAATTCGAGACATTATGTCCTCTTTATCCATCTCAGTGGAACTGACAGAAGACGTGCTGCAATGTGTTAACGTTTCTTTTACTCTCCTAAGTGGCGAGGGCAGGACATGTAGGTAGAACCAATGTTGAAAAAAACACTGATTGGCTGATTTCTGCAAGTCACCTGATCAATATCGGGGTAACCAAACCGTTTGCTTCAAGTGTTTTGTGCACACAGCCTGAGCTACTTTGGTTTGATCAGCAGGGTTTCGCTTAGTGCTAAAACTTTAAGGTTTGTGTGGCACCATAGAATTCGGAGGGAGTCGATCGGGTCAATCCGATGGCCAATATCTAACAGATGTCTGGCTATTGACAATACACGATTGTGATTTGGCGTTTGACCCGACGGTTGTCCTGACAGCACTTGGATTACATACTTCCAAATATGTTCTGCCGCACGTTCCGCTAGGGACCTGTCTGCCCTGCCGATGTAGACGTCTACGCCGCTGCAGGAGAGCTCGTAGACTACAAGAGGAACAGGTGGATTAGACAGCATTGACTCACGCTGTGCAGAGTGAATCTCCTAGTGACGTAACCTAGGTTGTCTAATCCAGTGCCTGTTCAACATTGTTTCTCCTCTCTATTTACACGACTTACAACTTTTACGTCCGTGAATGAAAAGAGTCAAAGAAATGTCGACATATCACAGTATATGTTTTCTGTACAAAATTGTGAAGCGTTTGAAATACTCGAGGTATTGCGAGACCCACTCAACAAAACCACGGCAACTGCAAGGTCACTGATAGGAGCTTCTTCGCGCATCAGTCCATCGATCATGTTAAGGAAATAATGCAATCATGTACCGGTCTGTTCGACCTAGCACGATGGCTGAAAATCCACTAATGAACAACAAGGCGGTAAACTGTGCTGAAGCCAAAGCTGTAGTCCAGTTTCGGTCAAGTAATAAAACAAAAAGGTATTCAGACGAGTGCTACTTCGCTGGTATTGCAAACCTTGTCAGTTCCGATGCAGGTGGCATAGTAAACACAGTGCGTAATGGATAACAAGTGGTCTTGGCGTTTGAATAAGCGACAGTGAGTGTTACAGTACACATAAAACTATTCTCGGGCGTGCGGTGTAGGCAAGGCGTAAACCAAGAAGGCTCATACTGACAGAGGACCACAAACGCGATGTATGCACTACCAGGTCACCCGTGGAGCATGTGTGCTTGAGCCCGCAGGGTGACCACTCAGAGAGACGTAGTCGACAAGTTTTCGCAAGATTCGCTATGAAAGGATTGGCCCAAAGGGTGGATGAGGTAGGGAGTTTGAGAGAGGGCAGTAGTTGTTTCAAAACAATATTTCAGAATGAATACATGAGATGTTATCCAAATTACTGGGGAGATGTACGTACTGGAAAATGGAAACGCAGGCATATGATAACAGGCAAGTGCTCTGGTGCGCGATTTCGAAACAAAGTTGAGGGGATGCCCCATCCATACCAGGTGGCCTCAAAATGTTAATAGAGAAGGATGTTTCTCGTCGTAATTTGTGAGGTAAGTCGGGAAAATGGAAAAACGGAAAAGAAAAAAGATTTGCGCAAGTGATCCGTAGATTTCAGAATTTAGATGTGAAGGGGGTCTGAGAACCATGTTTATTGGAGGTGAGTGAAAACATCGGGTGCATTGGCTACAACCGACGCTAAACTCGAAAATGAGCAAATTCTGGCCAAAACGCAGGAAACTAGGGGTGCAAATATCAAAGATGAAAACTGAAGGACGGAAAGCGATGAAGGTTCATGCTGCATACTTGAAAGAGAAACGGGGAGGCAATACATAGTTTCTGGACTGGAAATGGGTAAAATCATCAAAGTTGGAAGTCTGAGCATCTGATACACAGATAAAGAGGAAGAACTCGGGGAACAAATGTGGAACACCAGGCTAACATTCTTCACCAAGCCGCGAAAGTCGGACGAAGTACGTAAGAAGCTTGAACGATAGGACCTATTATTTAAGCTGTGTGGTAATTCGCTACGCCTGATTTGAAGGCCGGAAATCCAACCAGGGAGTGTAATTAGCGAACCAAATGAGACTTTTATGGGTTTGGCAGTGGTACTTCCCTGGAATACAGTGTGAGCTATCTACCAAGATTAACTAAACAAAACATTAATTTATGGAGATGACGCGCAATACGTAGACTCTGGTGTTAGTATAACTGATTAAGTACTCAGAGAGCCCTGTGGATACCCAAAAATCTACAGTCCATGATTAGTGCTGAATACCCGATGAGAACAACACCGTTAGAATCAGTTGTTATTCTACAATTAGCGAGGGTGACACGCCGAAACACAAGGAATTGTGACCGCGTCCAGTCAGTTTGACTTTGAAAATAATGCAGCGTTATTCAGTCGCCTCCAAAGTGCCCCAACAGACTGCGTAACTAACCTCAATGTCCTTCAACAGTTGTTTACGCTCATCATTCAGTTTTTCTATCATTGTGTCCATTTCTCCAATCATTTGACCAACGCGAGCAGCGAGTCGATTTGCTGCTTTACGGGTTCGCTTGTCCACAGGTCGATCAACGGAGACCAAGGCTGCTTCCTGTTGTTTGATTCGCTTTGTCGTTTCAGCCACTTCTTCCTACGGGTAGAAAATGATAACGAGTTTCGTTCATCACATATCCGAAAATGAAATACGCGAAGGTTGAATAGAAGACTGGTAGAATTAGTACAAATAATACACAACTAAACGACGCTATCACGTACCTTTAATCCATCCAATGCCTCTTCTTGAAGCGCATCGGATGACTCTGAAATTGCGGTTTCAATTTGATTGAGATCATCCACAGATATTTCCGTATCTTCTTCTTTGGTTTTATCTACCACCGCTGCGGTTGTCCCACTAGCTGCAACAGGCGCCGGTGCCTCTGAAATCTGTGTAGCTGTGCCCGCAGCAGGCTTTTCATCAGGAGCAGTAATAGTTACTGATGGTTCAGAAGTCGAGATGGGTGAGATTTTATTCGTATCGGTGTTCTAAAAGGACAGAAAAGATACCGAGAAAGTGATGAATATTCACGAAGCAATAATTGCGGGTGGGTGGCAGTAGAAACATACCACAGTTATCCGCAGGTAATTTGTAACCGAGTGCCAAGGCCAAAGAATTTCTGCGATAAGACTACACAACCTCATGAATATATCGCAAAGTGAAACAACAGATTCTCATGATTCCTTCTGTCTTTGTGAACGTATCTTTGCAGAAATTGCATACTGACGCATACTGTCAATAGAGCGAAAATGTCGTCCTCGGTTCTTAGTCTTGAGATGGCCAGGAGTAATACAGGTGCCGTAAGAAGCATCATCATCATCATCATCGACAGCATGACATCAGTGTTCAACACCGATGCTTCACTGCCGTACAATGCGATATAATGCGATATACGTTTCGTTCGTATCACAAATATATAAGTGATGAAGTACAAACGACATGGTGCATGCCTATGATTCAACAAGCACCAATTTCTACAGAATACAACAGACAGCTAAACGGAGCATTCCCAACTAAGCGGGAACAAATGGACCTGGAATAATTCACAAGGAATGCGAGACCGCGGGTGTCTTCGCTACTTATAAAAAAGAGAAAAATATTGAGTTCATTGCTTATTGCACGGAAATATGCGCTCATACTCCGCACCATTACGAATAAGGGGCTCTAGCTCTTCGTCAGGTTGTACGCATAAGCAGGCAGCCATCCTAGTATAGAGTTCTTTTGAGTGCTGAAGGGATGTGGGTCGAAAACCAAAAAAAACTACTATTCTAGGATTCCGAGGCCAACCAACAGCCTAACGTTTGTGTTTATTCCCCGCTGCCCTAAAATATTAACTAGAGTCATAATCAGACGCCGCAAGAATGGGTGAAATTACAGTACCCACTCTTCAGCATGAACCCAACAAAGTCAAACGAATTCGAAAGGGTACCTCTGAAGCGATCACGACTGGTACGATCCAGACTACTATCGATCGCAGTGCGATTGGAATCCGACTATGGATCCGCAACTTTGCACCCAAAATAAACCTGTGCGACCTCTGAACTAAAACGAAACATCCGGTCCTACAAGTCTGTCTGACATTGACGTCACTTACCTGACTCCGTGACCCATTGACCTATCCCTCATAAAACGCACCGCCCCTTCCTTTGATTTCCATTTCTCCAAAGTGTATGTAGCCCCGATCTTAGGCTTTCCACGTGATTTCTGCTACCATATAAATTTGTGATGTATTAGCCAAGAGGAATTCGAAATTATTGAAAAGACGATCACAACGCGGGAGAGAGAACAAATAGTCTGACAATTCCGAGGGCAGCATACAGCCACGTGGTCATATTACAGAATGAAGGCTACGAGGGTCGTTAGATAGTGTCCCATAAAAATAAACCGTAGTAGACCGTTGAAGAAGGGGCTTCTCGAAACGAGTAGTGTGCTTAGATCTCATCCAAGAATGGCTGAAACTCTCGACACTCAAGCCTCGAACAAACCGTAGCCACCAACACGCTGTACACACAAAATCACTGCTAATTATTCTTCAATGACTCGATGACGTATATTTCTCGCCTACCGGTTATGACCACGAAAGAAGAAAGCACGTGCCCGGGATGTGCGCCACTGTGCGCCGCATGAAGCGCTTTCTAGACTACTGTCACGACTGTGGCTTTCAGTTATTCCACTGACTACGATGTTAACTAGTCGCGTCAATCCTGTCATGTCAGAATCCATATGGACACTTCGAAAAACTGCATCAGAAGAGGGATAATACGAGCACGAGACAACACAGAATAATTCACTAGTTGTGGGGCTCGAACAACATTGGACTACCGGAAGCCCAAAAACAAGTGTCCAAGCAATCCCTTCGATTACCGCCTATATGATCGATGCAAACAAACTTCAGGTGTGGTTTGGAAACAATGATTGCTATTCGATAGAGTGAGAGCGTTAACAGACGATACTAGCGGGAAAAGTAGGGATGAAGAAGTGCAAGTGACTCCCCGGGGTTTCAGCTTCATTAGCAAACTGAATATAAGGCAAGGTCGTCACAAAGAAAACGTCCAACTCATATACGGAACGGATTTCCGAGTGCCGGAGAACGTTACAGTGACAAGGGAAATGAAACAGAAGCCACTGTTATCCTCAGTGGTTAGGCATACAGTCTACCATGGATTCAACAATGGGAGGCTCTAAAAGTAGGGGCCACATGACTGTCGGTTGTCAACCCGAGGATATACTTTGGCATGGAGATCATCATTCTGGGCAAAGTAGTCTCCTACAGTCCCTACACAATGTTGCGAAACGGAATGTACGTGAACATCCTTAAAAAGGAAGTAGAGATGAACATTATAAAGGGCTCTATGTATCGAACTTAGTTCTCCAAAATGATGGTTAAATGAACGAATGTCATCAGAATATTAGAGAGAATGTAAACTTCAAACAACAACCATTATGTGGACACATAGGTGAGCATCGTAATTATTAAGGCAAAACGCAATTCACATTCCCCGAGAGCCAGGTTTAACAAAGTGCAATGCAAATCTGAAGAAGTTCGGAGGCCCCACCTGGCTTGTTTGCGCATTGTGTGAAGCGCCAGACAGATGCCAAAACGGTAAGCCTCTTAGACCCATAGAAGAAGCATAACAGCCAAACCAAACGTGCTGTAATGAAGCCTACCCTTTTTCGCGCCTCTCAAGTGAAGTGAAATTCCAAGTTACTATCACGTGGTATGAGTACACACCATGAGCAAATAGCCTACATTTCGCCCTCGTAAAACCAACCCCGCTTGTCGTCTCCAACAAACCTTGCAATTTTTTTAGGTTTCATTGTCATAGCACTCTCCATGATCCGTCCTTCTTCATCAAAATCGACCAACCACTCCGGTTATTTGTACCCTTACCGCTTAGTGTGATGCCAATCATAGCAAAGTAACATCAATAGTCCTATCAATTGGGTGAACAACGGTTATGATTAGCCAGAGACCCACTACGTGCTCGAAATACGGAAAACACAAGAAGCCATTGGTTGCTGTGTTACAAAGCAATTCCTAGTTCGACCAACAAAGAAAAACCAATATGCACTCGGAGTTGGCAAAGTTTCGAGACACTGCTAAGTGTTAATCACACAGTCGACCAAAGCAGAGCAAGGAAAAGTCAGATGGATACAAGTGTACGCGTACAGGGGACGAGCATCTTGAAAAGAAAAAGACCCCGTTCGAACGGACCCACATCCAAGGTGAAAATGAACATAAGAAAACCTTCCCGGGCTACGGAAGATCTAACGGGGGAGCGTATTGCAGGACTGGCTAGTAGATTCAGACAGTGGAAACGCAAACAGAAGGGTATTCCTGTGACTGATGCTGCAGTTCAGTGTAAACCACCAGACACTTTAGTCAACGGATTCTGATATAGACACTGAAGGTAGTTTCTGAACTGCAGAAAGGCGAGCAGAGTACAGTGAGGATGTAATAAAATTAAGGAAATAAGAAACAGTCGAACAAAAAATTACATTTTTTTCCTAAATGTTTAACTAGACGTACCACCACGTCCCGCCAACGAAAAGACTGACGGCCAAGGGGCTCGAGGGTTATCGTTATTCTTTCTATATTGGAAGAACTCGGTTCCATTTCCAATAAACTAATAGTAGAATGGCCTATTGATGTGGTTTTATCAGTCAGTTTATTCCAGCTGTATGGAGCAATGCTAAGTACAGCCCAAAGCGAGTACTTCTTCCCAGGAACACCTTGGATCTAAGAAGCTGAAAAACTGGGATTGAAAACCTCCACGAACACCTGAAAATTGTTATATTTGCCCATTATCCATATCTAAAAAACCTTAGGTGAGTGCAAATATCAGACATAAACTGTCCACCCACCTCAAACGACGTTGGGCTGACCGCTTTGAATGACAAATCAGCTAGTCAACTAGTGGAGTTCATCTAGACACTAGACTAGTAACTAGACCCCGGCTGAACGCGAGACCTTCGGAGGCATCTAGACACTAGACTAGTAACTAGACCCTGGACGGCTGAACGCGAGACCTTCGGAGATCAACGAATGCATTCAATCCCACAAACGTTACCGCCGAAGTGTCACTCGCCTTATGTAGGGATAGAGGTGGAATCCTCGGTCGGTGTTTGCTCAAGTCATTTGCATCTGTTCGGGAGGAAGGGACCCCAGTCGACCACGGTCAGTCGATAGGAATGCTTACTCTAGATGCCCTCGTAACGAACATGGTGACCAAACAGATAGCGTTACTTCTGTCGTAATAAGACTCCCTGCGACAAATACTCTCCGTCGTCTTGCGGTAGGTGAGGCCCTGATCCGATACCAATAGACAGGATTCCATCCGAATGGGTAGTCTAGATCTTCACACGCCTTCAAATGCTAGAACACCGGTATTCGTATGGATAGCTCAAAATACTGACGCTCCAGGATCTTCGTGGTCAGTTCTGCTGACCGATCAATTCTTCTAAATATACTGCAATAATGTGTGCTGAAAAACTTGTGGACATAATACGTCCGTTTTATTTGCATACTTACGGGTCTAGGTACACGAGGAGCTCCCCAAAAGCTTCCCAACAAGCGCTGGATGCCTGATCTCTCCATCCCCCTTCAGCACTGCTATTCATGAAATAATGGCAGGGACGCTGGTGGGTCCGAAACCCTGGTGCTCAAGTCGATAAAGGCGAAAATTCTGTCAATCTGAACGGATTTGTCTTCAACTTCGAACAGGGGGAGAAAAAAGCATATCCAAAAAGGTTGGTCGGCGTTAGCTCATTCTTCGGCATTTGTTCTGCGCCCCTAAAGCGTGGAGAAATGCACTACGACGTCCAAACGTAGGGATACTATCCGTAGAATATAGGATGCGAAGTCCTTTACGCACCTTAGGAGCTGTTGAAGCCGTGGGGATAGCACGAAAAAGCAGTCTAACGCTCAGGTCTAGATCATTCGCTAATTTCCGTGTCTTGTCCAAAGATTTGTAGTTGGGTCTAGGGATCGTGTGTATCGGACCGCAGTATAGGGTACTTTGTTGTACAGCTGTGAGACAGCGCCTCTGCAGTCGGAGTATCCAGGACGACCTGAGGCCTTTGGTACCTGGGTGTTTCAGTGGAATGAGATCGAGAAAGCCCATAGGTTGACTCGAACTCACTGACTAAAATGTCCATGGTTCGAACGCAACCCCATTCGCTAATTTCCGTGTCTTGTCCAAAGATTTGTAGTTGGGTCTAGGGATCGTGTGTATCGGACCGCAGTATAGGGTACTTTGTTGTACAGCTGTGAGACAGCGCCTCTGCAGTCGGAGTATCCAGGACGACCTGAGGCCTTTGGTACCTGGGTGTTTCAGTGGAATGAGATCGAGAAAGCCCATAGGTTGACTCGAACTCACTGACTAAAATGCCCATGGTTCGAACGCAACCCCAGCATCTCGACTGCTCCTGTTTAGGCTTGGACAACCCGACAGCATTCCATCCTTCGTGCTTCTTCTGGGTTCCATAGCAGCTAGACATCGAAAAGGTTTTACAGCTGAATGATCATCACTATTATTTCGACGCCATAGCTATAATAAGCTGGCGTCAATGAATTTGTAGATGATGCGATTGTCAAACTGATGCTTGGTAATGCGACAGGTATCTGACTACATGACTGATCCAGTGCCTGGAGCAGGTGCTAAGTATCTACTAAGAGTTCTGTTTTCCATCCCAGATCTACCGAGTAAGGTAGACCGAAAGTTGGGTAAAACGCGACTTGGTAGATGAAACTGAAGAAGGTTTTGAAAAGTCCGTATGATAGGCGGGTGACCTCGTTACAGGTATGGAGTCCACCTAACCTCGTCTTTTAATAAAAATAATATATCTCATGAGGATTACTGTCCCAGGGCATTCAAACGGTGTGAGTTAAAACATGTCCACAGAGAGCTTCGACAGAAAAATCACTGTCGCACTCGTTTTATGAGGCCTTTTAAGAAATGCGGAAAAAATTACGTAAATAACGGCTAATTGTGGTTGTACTTAATCGCAGTTGTAATTGTAAGAAGACACTTACCAAGACCTCAGCTTTCTCGGCAGCCACGACCGGAGCCTGATCGACAATTGCTTCACCTAATTGCAGCTCTAAGTTGACAGTGGAACAAAGGACACAGTGAGAATGTGATTTCGGAAATCACAAGCAAAAATTTATAGTAGACCAATCAGAAAGTATAGAACAGTAGATTCACAATAGTTAACCTAAAGTCCAGTCTCTTAGTCCATAGAATCACAGACGAGAATCTGTCGGATACGGTGTAGCTCGGCTGACGCTAATAAGAATTCCAGTAGGGTTGGGATGAGTGTAACAACTACACTACCATTCTACCGAGCCATCAGTCTTTTGTTTTTCTCACTGGATTCGAATTCTAGTGACTACGAGGCAGAAGTACCCGTAAACTCTGAAGCATCGATCATTTGTGTCCATTTTGAAAACACGATAGAGTGTGAGTTTCAAACGAATGTTATTTTGGCGTACCCCAAGGCCAAATATTCACCTGTAACAGCAATTCTGGAAATACTAAAGGAACACCTTGTTTCGACTCCCCGCTGACGCTGCTCACCACTGTTTAGGTTGCTGGAAAAAAGACTGCGACCTGAGGAGGCCTTGCCTCACGCGTGGGAAGTGACAATCCTTAAAAGGTATGGAGCCGGCTCATCCTCGGGTATAAATCAACTGTTGTCAAGTAAAAGGATCGATTACAAACCACATATTATAACTCAAGTAACAGTTAATAGACGAGTTGTACCCTCAAATATCTTGTGCCGGGTGGGAAACTGAAAACCTAGTGACTGAAAGGTTAACAGTGTATTCCGTGCCTACAGAACAGTATTCGCCGGAGAAAATAAATATGCTAATGAGTTCGCGAGAGTATATGACCTACTCGATTAAGTGCGAACCTCCGTCTAAGGTCACTGTGAAAGAATTTGGACGACCGAAATACCAAAACCATCTTTGTACGAGGCATCACAGTGAATCACTGCAACCTATCGATGTGATTTTTCGGAAGAGTGCAACAGCAATCCACCAAAACTGCCGTCCTACAGGAAAAGAAGAAGACCACCTTCAGCGCAACGTACTTTCAGTTTAGTATTACATGGGTTTTCACTAGATTTCAAACAGTATCGTCTGATGTTATTGGATGTTTAGACAAGTGCACTCGTGATTGATCCACTGTCTGACTGGCTCTGTAGCAACTGAAGTCAGTCGACCTCTCCTCGTCCGAAGTCGCCGATTGCTTTAAACTGCAATACTGGCTGAATGTTGCTGACTGCATAGTCGAAGCCTCAGTGAACCTAGAGTAGGAAGCTCTGTTAATTGGCTGGAGAACGGTTTATCAAAACCTAATCACAATGAGCCGATAGTACTGTCAGATTGCAGAACATTGGTGTCTCCTTGGGCTCTGCGAGGCCTGCAAATCCCACACTGTGTAAACGATTTAGAAGGGAAACATAGTTGCCATCCACTTGAGAAACATCCAAGCAGAAAAAGCCGCTTTTAGTTGCAGCATATTCCTATTTTGAGGTTTATTCTAGAAAGGACCATTTTCGCTCGGTTGCTTTGTTGGTCTTTCCGGAGTGGAACAACTGTAGTTGAAGGCGCTCTCCAGCCAGGCTCAACCGCTCGTCCTGGATAGGCTATAAGCCGATCGAGCGCTTGAGTCTGAACTACATTACAATGATAAGCGCATTTTGACTGGTTACCAAGTAAGTAGCACCTAGTGGGCCTAAACCTAGAAAAACAAAAGAATGAGATAATACACTACTCAAAAGGTTGCTGAAAATCCGTCGACAGCCCACGACCGATTTCGCCCTTCTTGGGGCTTTTCAGGTAGGCGCAGTCTCCGATTTTCCGCCAACCTTATGTTCTACTTGAAAACGAACTGCATGGAATTAGCTAAATACACTTATTTGCAAACAAATTTGGTTTTGCGGGATACTCACCTGAAACTCAGCTGAATCTCTCGTTTATGATGTTTCCAAAAAGGGCAAAAACGTTCATGGGCTGCCGAAAAACTTTCAGCAAACTTAGGAGTAGTGTATTGCGTTTATACATGCTACGCGATATCTCGAATATCGTAGCAAGTGGAACATGAGGCGGCCTGGCAAGGTACATTCAGTTGCTTGAAAACATTAAACAAGAAATCCAGCTGGGTTACAGGTGAGTCCCCCGCTAAAAGAATGAGATGTTATCGGTGCCGTTGCTGTTATCTGAGCTCTTCGTAAAACTCATCCGAAAAAAAACTCTGAAAACAGGGAGCCGCAGAATCTGCCTTTCGAAATGACGGACAAACGATACACCACTTAGGAGTGTGGTAAATGACCCAAGATGGTGGGCGAGGAAGTGACGCCAAACAGAATAAAGGAAAATTCTTGCCTTCCTTCGGTAATCCTTTGACTGTTGGAGCTTTGTCAACTAACTTCTCGTCCATGGTCGGTTCAGTCTTGCCTTCAGCCTGGCTTGTTGATTTCAGTTCAGCTAGTTCTTGATCCCGCTGAACCCTAGCAGCCTTAATACTCGCCTGTTCTTTGCGAAGCAACTCCATCTTTGCGCGTGGATCTAGTTCAGCGTGAGGTGTTGATTCTAACGCCAATGCGGCTGCCTGTTCTGATGCGGATGGAGGGAGTTGTGCTATAGCCTGAAGACAATAGGGTAAACGTGGAGAGATATCACTAGAGCAAAATTCAAAGCAGCTTTGATAAACGTGAATGTCGGCGACAGTGCTATAGATGGCATAGTTTGTTTAGTGTAAGAAGCCTTTGTGTATCTATGATAGGTCATTGCATGAACTGACCGACACCTCCGATATTGTTGCTATTAGACTTCTCACGAAAAGCGACTGGATGTGGCGCGATATGGCACTGTTAACAGCCCACAAAAATGTAGTGTCCTAGACTAAGCCCGTACTGAAGAGATGAATACCATAGGCGGAAAATTGACGTATGGTGCATCACTCCAATCAACATAAGCAATGAATTCTGCATGTCTTACAGACATGCAGTGAGGAAGAGGCAGTAGTGTTGAACAAAGTAGATGTGATCAGAACCTGTATTGTTCATTTTTTACTCCGAAGAGTGCGTGCATCGCCGGAGCGGGTCAGCTCCCACATACAGAGGCCCCCGAATAGAAAACAAACGACTTGAGGGGCATAAGATACATTCGCATAGTGGCAAGAATGCTTGGGAACAAGCCGCGTGCAGAATAGTCTCATCTTCTGAGAAAGAAATAGGCCTGATAATTTATTCAGCTACATTGACAAGGACTGGGGGTGAGGTGGTCCAAGTGGTTAGAGCACGAATTTACTGACCGGAAGGTGTGTGGTTGGAACCCGACCGCTGCCTCTCGACTTCCCCTGTCTAGGGTTGGCCAACCTGGGAGTATCCCAGCCCTCGTGCAACCTTCGGGTGGCATGGCAGCTAGGTACCGAAATGGTGCTACAGCTGAACGATTTCGATTTTTTCCGATTGACAAGGATTGACTGAAAGGGGTACACTACAAAGTTGACCGCCCCGTCAGTAGACAAATGAACAGAATGTCCGCATCGATTCGCTGGCATTCATAGGTACTCACTATAACTGCCATAGAGACTAAATAATAGACCATCTGAATCTGAGAATTAGCAGCAGCATTGCATAGCCAGCAAGGCACGATATCCGCAGTCAGACAACGTCAGTGAAGAACTCCTCTGTGAACGGCAACCACCAAATCAGTTTCGATTCTGCGACTGCAAATGTGCTAGAGACATGGATCCAGGTGAACAGTTGCATACGCCATGTCAAACACATCACGCTACAGGCAAGTGCGCTACAAAAAAGGCTCACAACCCCATACTTTAAACCATGACGCACAGTGGTCGGTATGTTGAGGCCATACTGCGCGTCAAGAACAATCAAATAAGTAAATGAAAGGTGACTGGTCTGAGATGTCTGAAGACGGTTAACATAATAATACAGCCTCAAAAGAATGTGTGAAGGTAGAGAGTGCACAAGTGTGCCGATGCAAGAATAAGGACATTGATGCACTAAGCAGCGAAGTAGTGTTAACAGGATGATAATAATAACCAACTGGGTAAAAGGGTGGGAAACCAGAAAAAAGCTAAAACCTCATCCAATTTGGATATGTACATCCCAACCTAGCGACTATGGTGGGTTAGAAAGAATTCAGCGTCGAGAAAAGCATCCCCACTGGGCCAGGTGTTAGGTACATCAAGAGTATCGTCTGTAAACTAGGTTTCTGCTCGACGTTTTGTTTTCAATTTGACTTTTACTTGTTGTTGAATGACAACATAGCAGTGGAGATCTTCCACATGCCTCAGATGAGTCTTCCACAACTCTTATAGTCTCAATTACCTGTCCGTTGAAGGTCAAATGATTGAAGGATCAAGTCTCACACAGATTCCTTATCGCCATTTAGTAGTGACCAGGACGAATGGACATGTTGTCGTGTGGGAAAAAGAATAACTGGCGTAGGAGATTTTTGCCTGCTTATGTACGGCAAAATGGAAAGTATTTCAATGGACACTAGAGAATAAGAAGAAAGAAGATACCCAAAAGGATATCTCACAAAGAATGTCCGCATGGATGAAGTTTTACCTAGAACATAGGGATTTACTCGCCAGAACCAATGAACATACAAACTAGATTTAGTGTCAATGCTTTGAAAATCACTGAACAGTGGTTTCACGTTCGACGGATGCCAGTGCTCTAATTCCTACTTCCCAACATCGGGAACCTTGTGTCTAGCTAGTACTGATGGAAGTGCTCGATGAGGTGGAAAATGAGGTGAGGCGGTCGTTGTCAAGACTGATCAATATCCGACAAACAAGCCACAACCAGTCTGGGGTTCTTCTGATGAGAGTTCCATTCGAAGCTAATCTGAATCTTCCGTTCACTGGAATTCAGTATACAGGTTAGTAAGATATACAATAGAGGGAGGTGATCGTAACTGATGAGTCAGTTGGCCTCTGGATAAAAAAGTTGTGAACGATTGATTTCGAAAGATTATTATTGGTTAATTGTCCATTGGCGCTGTAACGAGTCAGTTTCATCATTGTTCATGTCTAGTTGCAGAGCACCATTAATTTTTGCTGTTGTGATCTTAGAGTGACTGTATGATCGAGCATGTGTAAAATGACCTTCTCGGAGCAAAAACTTACCAATGCATGGAGGTGTGCTCTTACGGTTCGCTTGAATTTTTGTCACTCACCTCTTTTAGTGGCAGATCCCCTGAAGATGCCTGGGTCACATGCAGTGCTCTGGAGAAAAGTAAGAGAGTGACAGGAACATTCTTCTCCAAATGCAAAGCGAGCCACTGTGCAAGCTGTGACCGAAGCCGTTCCTCAGTGAGTCCCACAGAGCGCATTCCACGTTCTTGACACAGACTTTGAAGTTCCCAGACGGGAATTTTGTCCACGCCTTCCTTGGCTATGAGCTGTAATTAGACGACAAACTCATGAAATCCGATACAGAATATAATCAGATGAGACACTGTTCTAGTTCAAGTAAAGGCCCATTCTTCTTAGCCTAAAGATAAATTAAGCAGGAATAACATGGAAGAATCGGTCGACAAAGGGCAGTTCAGAAATAAAACACTGACTGTCCCTCACTGATAAACCAGAAAAAAGGTACTGACTACAAGCTATCGGAATTTCAGAGAATGAATATCCAGTGGATAGTGGTTTCTAGAACTGACCTTCGTGGAGGCTAGAAACTAGATATTAATTGAAAGGGAATGCGACTGACTCCTCGCGAGAGATCACCGTCAGGTAGCTTTAAATAACGCTGGAAGTTGTGGCATCTCAAAATTTATTTCCGATCGCTGTTTTAACAGCATAAAGTGTTTTAGTCATATCAAACTATCTACTCCTGACCGGCGGTGAATAGCAACTAAGCCCAGATTAGCGAAGGCTTCTCGTCATTTATGAGACGCTGCTAAGAGTCACTTAGCTCTTATCACTCCGTTCTCAATGAGAATGAAATACTGCACAGTTGTGTGACAGAGGGTGACTGTACGAAGACGATTTAGACGACAATACGTTTGCCCGACGAACTTAGCCTGTACGACGTCAAAGCGGTGTTACCGATAACAAATTTCACTATCTACACCGAAAAAGTTCCACTCCTGAATCACAAACCTTCAAACTCCTTGGCGGCTATCGTTTTTAACCTTCACGAAACTACTAGCTAGTTGGGTCACGAACAAATGGCTGTAGTATGTAAATGTTTGTTCCATAGCTCACACAAGATTAGAGTCGCTAAATACCCAAAAATAACTCTGTTACACATGGACAACACTTGCAACTGCAATACAAACAAATATTTGAGGTAACGAGACAACCACATGGTCAGGTAAACTCCTCATGCCCCTATGACTGTCTTTAATAGACCCCCTTCCAAACCTAGAAGAGGAAGGTTATTTTCAACGTCTGTTGCACCGCGAACATTAGTAGAAACCAGCCCGATTACCGTGTACATATTCGATAACCAGATATCGAGAGAAAAAAGTGGACCACATGTGTTGCATATGCAGATCTCTGGACAAACCAGATGATAGTAGCAGCTGAAAACCGGATGAACATCCAGGCAAGCAAGATAGGCGTCGATCACGTAGTAAACTAGAAACGAAAAGGTGAACTTACACGATCTTCGGCTTTCAACTGCCGAACGCGCAGCCAGATCTGGAATCGCAGAAGATTGCTTGGACCAATCGTAGGTAGGGATAATAACTGACAAAGCATTTTCAGCTGCTTCATCTCCAATGACTCCAACGTAACTTGATCCTCGAATAGCTTTGAGAATCGCGTAATTTCTTCAGCCGTTGCCGGCTGCCCGGACTCTTGGACCTATGATAGTTCAAGGGTAGACCGAGGAGAGGCGCCTCAGTGTTAAACGGCTATACAGTCGCGATGAGAATTAGAGTCATCAATCATCATCATCAACGACAGCATGACATCAGTGCTCAACACCAAGGCTTCACTGCCGAATTAGAGTGGAAGGTGAGGGAATAATCGTTGTGAACCGTCCATCAAATAGCCGAAGCTCAACTCCCATGCGATTGACCAACAACCCAAGAAACATTGCATCATAACGAACGACAGCATGACATCAGTGCTCAACACCAATGCTTCACTGCCGAATTAGAGTGGAAGGTGAGGGAATAATCGTTGTGAACCGTCCATCAAATAGCCGAAGCTCAACTCCCATGCGATTGACCAACAACCCAAGAAACATTGTTTACATTTTAATCACCATGGATTTCCAGAACATAAGCCCAGATATGCGGACAATAGTGGCAGGATCACCCGTCAGCAGAACGGGGGCAAGTCAACACCCATGCATTTGCCATGTTTCACTGAAAACGGGCACCACTATTGACTCATCCCAAATTGTTGGAAGGTCTCTTAATCCTTGATAGATTCAAATAAGCTAGACAAGCACCGACTGAGGATTTCATCCCCACCTCTGAACGGACCGCGGAGTTCGTCAGGACCAGCAGCTCACTGACGCTTGAACGACAAAAGGCACTCGCTTATTTCCGAAGCCAAGTTCCAACTTCACTGTCCAGGAATGCATTGTGGGTCTGGAATATGGATGAGCAACCATAGGTGGCCAGTTGACTTTTTGTTGAGTGTTGTACCCAACGATTCACGCGCTCCTCATTTTACAGGTAGCCGGGCCGTTGTTGTCGGTGATTGTTCCGCTCGCTGGGGGGCACCATTGGGCTTGCTGTGCGTAACAATTGGAATAGTTTACGCACATTCCCAGATTTTCTCACATCCTCCACCTTAGCTTACCGATCCGCATAGATGCTCCTTTTCAGCGGAAGTCTGGCGGTTTGTCGGGTGGTATTGTACTCTCGACCCAAACTATAAAATTGTTTAGCTGCAGCAAATGTTCCAGTGCCTAGCTACCATCTGAAGGAAGTACGATGGTTGGGACATTATCGGGCTGTCCAAGCCTAGACACGAGCAGCCAAGATACTAAGGTTGACTTCAGACCAAGACTTTTTCCGTCAGCAAGTTCGCGCCGTCACCACTGAGAAATCTTGGCTCTCGACCAAGAGCAGTAGGTGTCCTTGCTTCGAGCAATTTTAGTGTTGTTCGAGATCAAGCGTTCAGAGCAAGTGAGTTGCACAGTCCCAATTGTAAGTTACTACAAACACCAGGCTCCAGAAACCAAATGATGGAAACACTCACCCAACAAGAACACAACGGCTTTACTACGAACAAGCGGGTGCAAAATTACAAGAGGCGTCGCGCTTTTTTGAAGTGGGCTTTTAGCTCCGAGTCAAAATGGTCTAAATGACGTTGAGTAATTGATTGGCATCCATTCTAGGTCACGCGGGAGCACTCGAGTACAATCAATCGTCGATGACTGGCTGTTTGAACGTCATCATCATCATCATGAATGACAGCAACATCAGTGTTGGCACTGATGCTTCACAACCGTACAACCATGAAGTTCGTTTGAACGTTCAAATGACAGCTGGTTTTTCTGGCCGGTAGACTGCACTTACTTTATGAAGAGATTTTGACGGAACCATTGGATATCAATGCACAGATTGGGCCATCACCTTCAACGCGTGGCTCTCATTCTCTTATTTTCCGTATCCTCGGTAAACGAAGCTGCAGCGACTGAAACCAGTGCATCTCAATTTATGATCTGTGAGCCGGAAAATTGAACCGAACTACCGAGGGCAACCAATCAAGCAGAGGCTCTTCGGTTCGGTGGTAAGGCCAGACATTCTTGCTAAATAAAGCAAACTGGACAGACCCCTACGTATATATGACAAGCTAAGGCATGCTAAGTCATCAGCAGAACGTAGCTCACACCATCATGTCGCGACACTGCGATCATTAGCGTTATGAATAGGAATACGCTAGCGACAAACACTAGCGCTAACCGCCATAAAACCATTAGTTTTCCCAGTGTGAGATAAGGGAATACGGATGGCTATAATGTCACCCGGTCTCTCTTTAAAAGTGAAAGCAGGATAAGGAAACCCTGAGACCAAATACTGATGATCTGCTTTCCTATTCCAAAAGCGTTCCCCCAGGGACTTAGTGACGACACTCTAACCCAGGGGCTTTATTAGTGTTTACTGTTTTATTGTCGCCTAAGGTCTCAAAAGTTTTTGGCCTCAACTCAGACAGACAGTCGATAAGACGCTCTAGACGTTCTTCGACAGCGGCATAAAATCTCAGACTTTGTTACGGTAATTAGGCGTATCGCGGTTGAAGCGAAATTAAGAGACCGGGAACGACGCTAGCTTCAGCTCTATGAGAACCGTTCCTTTGAGATAGGAACTTCTGGAACAATATACACCATTTGCCCAAACGGTACCCGCCAAAGGAGCAAAATTCCACCACACTGATAGCAAAGAATGGTCCGTCAGAGTACTCCAGTGGACTCTGACCAAACACTTATCTGCTTCCAATTTTCTTAGCGCTTTTCAAGTTAATGCAAAACGTACATATCTACTCCGATCGTTGGGAAGTTTACAGACGCTGACATTGAACAAAGAGCAGTCTACCCTAATACAGGCAAATTTCATCAAAATACAACGCAAACGGAACATGACGAAAGAATATGCAACTACGCACATATCCGTAAGTCTAATAGGTCCAGAGTGCTGAAGTGAAAACTGTGGGAAAGTCTAAGTTTCCGAAGGTTGTTCCAGTTGATTCGCACAAAAAGGCCTCACAAAACTTTCGCCAGACAAGTGATCAAGGACCAAGACTGCTCCATGACCTCCAGCAGGAGGAACTGTTAGTCCATTAGGTTGAGTAGTCCATGCAACGATTCAGTTGGTTACCTTTCAACTCCCAACCCGACTGTCGACCTGTGAAATAAACGTTGATTGCGAAACTGGGTCCTCCTTAAGCCTCAACAGCATTCACGCATCACCGAGGTTCATATCCCACCCAGGGACAGCAACAAATTCAAATGTGTTTTCGTCTACCACTGGAGAAATACTGTTCCAAACAGCTAGAAGACCCATGACAGTGTTTAACTTTGTAGAGTATTCGCGGTGGACATGCTAACGACAAAGGTATTAGTGTGACTCACAACTAAAGTGCCACTGATTTTACGTCGCATTACATGGGTATGCAGAACCTATCGGCAAAAAGCGATGGGACGGAGACTGCACAGATCACGCCTTCGCAATCCATCAGGTGCTAAAAAGGCCCTACATGAACATGTGAACCGACACTATAGTCTTTCTTGACTTCAAGAGCATGTATAATTCCGTCAATCTGTAGGTCCTTCCAACCACGCTTGCACAATAGAGGATGCCCTTACATTTCACGATACGGTGTTCCTTACATTCCCATACCTCTAGGCGCACATGTGTACGGGTAGCTCACTATGAGGGAAGTATTGACCAGGACATCAATACTTTGTTCCCATTCAACTGTATAATCAACAAATTGTCCTCACGATCCTTGAAATACTACAGAACGTCGTCGACCTGGAGTAAGCAGAAAACAGCGTCCTCGTTTTTCGTAAACCGACAGAAAGCTAGACAACTGCCCATCAGCATGCGTTCCATAAGCGGTGTGAAATCACGCCTAAGAATGTGTTTTCTATAGAGGAGAATGTCGGTAGCTCAGGTAGCGTAGATGGTCGTTGGCTTGTTCGCTGAGCTGGGCACTTTGGTTGCAAACGTTTCTACGGGGCTCCGTATACATCACCAAAAAGTGGTTAGTGACTGACCAGCAGGAGATTTCAAATCAAGACAAGGTGGAAGAACGTTCGGTTGACTGGGTGTGATTGTGCCGACATCATCAATGATGGGTGCAACTCGAAAGAAGCAAAATGTGCATGAAGAGGAGCTCAGTTAAGCCACTTCCGCTCTCCAACTCATATACCGGTTGCCTAGACAACGCGATGCATGACCTAATTCTGCTACATCCCGGGGACAACGGGCGCTTAGCAAAAAGGATTTCAAATCAATTAAATGCATCCGTTGAAAAGCTTAGCGATGTAATCACATCATTTGAATAAGCATGATCAAAGAAAACGTAAATAATCGTTCAGTGTAACACCCTTTCGGTGTCTACCTACTGTGCCACCCGAAGGAAGCACGAGGGCTGAGAAACTGCCAGGTTACTCAAGCCTACAGAGAGGAAGCAGAGAAGCAGAGGTCGAGTTTGAACCAGGGACCTTCCCGTCAGTAAATTCGCACTCTAATCACCGAGCCAGTCCGGGCATACTGAGTCAATTTAAGTCAGCGACTCATGATAAACAAACATGGAGGCTTGAATGCTCGAAATGTAAAGCAGTACCTTTTTCAGGAAATCTTGAAATTCATTCACTGTCGGTGAACCGCTAGCTTCAAGAGCGGTACCAGTAGTGTGGTGCAGAGTTTCTTGGAGAAATCTAGTCATTTCGAGTTTGGCTTTCAAACGCTGTCGAATTCTTTCACCCTGAAAAACGAATATATAGTGGACCCGAATTCCGGGAAATGCATACCTCAGAGGTCTTATCTTTAAAGGTGCTGGGTAGCATGAAAGGGAAAAACTTGAGGTAGAAGGGAAGGAGGAACTCCATGAATGGAACAATTATAAAAATTGCAAAAGGAACCAGCCGGATAATATCAGCAACCGTTCGGACAAGCTGTGAAGTTGAGTGAATGAATGCTGATATACCTGCTTTCGCTCACGACGTGACAGCGCATGGCCACGGAGCAACCTGAAACATATTCCAGTGGCAATTCTGACTTCTAGCCCTAGCAGACGAAAACCATGATAATAGTGTACGATTTCCTTCTTTGCTCTTTGCCACAAAGTTAACTTTTTGTCGTCAGGTTGCTGAAAATATTAGGAAAAGGCATAATACTGATACCTTGTTTGGCTGCTGGTCACCGGTTGGGACAGGCGCTGCATGCGGAGTTTCTCTGACACCAGCGGGCGTAGTTTTGGCCGACAAATTCTCATGATTGAGAGACGACAGAAGTGTTGGAGGTATCCTTTGAAAACTGTTAGAAGTTGGGTCACACTGCAGGTTCTGGTGTATAGGTCTTTGCCAATGGAATGTCCGAGTTCGAATCACAATGGGTAAGTCAACAGAGGCGGTAATTGACTTGAAAGGATATTGAATTCGCAATGGGAGTTTGATGAAGCACGTATTGTAGGTAGGCCATGCACTATACCCAGATATCGGGATTAGATAAATGGTGCGAGCGTATCTTGCATTCCTAGCTACATTCCTACGGGGTTGAATCATTTAATACATGAAAATAAATGCATACTTGAGAGAAACTAACATACTACAACCGAGAGGACGAAACTGCACCCGACACTTGTCTACTCGCCGAATGCCCTCAAGGTCAAACACTCTAACGCTAGGTCACGGACACTAATGGCATGGAACAGTAGTTCGAAAGAGGCATGCTCTCACATAAGAACTTGATATTTGCAGTTATTTATCCGAAACGCTGAACCTAAACTAGACGGTCACAACCGTGTTGCACGTGTCTAAAACTTTTCACGGATTCACGGATTGACGCACAATATCGAGGAATTCGCCCAAGTTTCCCGGGTCGGTTTTGTTCTCGTCGGTCAGTGGCTGTCGTTCACCTGAAAGGCACAAGTGAAAAAAGGATGTAGCACTGCTCTTCGTGTTCTCAGCGCGGGGCAGTATGCTTGCCAGCGCGAGGATTCGCATAAATAAATGTCTAATAGTGCTTTAAA